CAGCTACAATGCAACCTTACAAAGACTAAGGAAAGTAAACATGGAACAACACCAACAATTATATCAAAGACATTTCTTCACAAATATATTTCATTTACAGAGCCAGCAGCATCACTTTCAAATCAGTCCATCGTTGCAGCAAAATGAGTGGAGATGTGTGAATGTATCTTTTAATGTATCTTGTTTTTGCTGTTGCTAACAGCAAGGAGGAAGCGAGATGCAGGGCTCCGCCATGGGAGGTTTTACTTCTTCTCTTACACTGATTCTCCACTGTAAATCCCTGGGTGTTTTAAAAAGGGTTCTTGTGCAATTTACCCTTCACAGGTTCTGTGTGGCAATTTGCACTGGGGAACTGACCTGGCAGGAAGGGCCATACCTCCCCCTGAGCCACGGTTCCACTCTAGTTTATTACCCGACGGTTACTGGTTTTTTTTTTTTTTTTAAAGATGATCTTCATCGCAATGATGGGGAATGGATTCATATGTATTTGATATCTTACCTACTTTGCCAGTCAATGAGAAGCAGTGAACGGACTGTTAGGGATGTAAATAAGCACCCCGATCCCGAATCCACTTGTTTAGCATGTGGAGTGCCTTTGACTTCTCTTGCCTTCTGTTGAAACGGAGGAGGCCATCCGCCTAATCCACCAAATCCCCCTCTTCTTGGTGGAATCAGGGTCACAAATCAGACACATGCATTCAAGTGAGAATGTAATCTTCCTGCTCTGTGCTGTTTTGGCCAGGGCACACTTTGGTTTGTGCACATGAATGCTCATTGTTGTCCATGCTCACAGCTTTTAAAATGCAATTGGATTTTTTTTTTTTGTATTTTATTTATTTATTTGTTTAAACCGTTTGTATGCCATCCCTTATGCGTGGCATTTCAGGACAGCTTACAATCATTAAAACAACCACAATAAAACAGCAATAAATAACAAATGACCAAAAATAAAAATTAAATAAGTAAAATAAAAGTGACAAACATTAAAATTAAATAGGGTATTTATGGAGTAGCTTTATTTTATTTTAATATAGCGATTGTTAGAAAACTATGGATTGGGGAAGAAAGTAAGTAACCTGTAACTGACGTTCTTCGAGTGGTCATCCATGCATTCACATATATGGGCTCTGTACCTGTGTGGTGCCTGTAGCCGGAACGATTTTCCTAGCTAAGCTAAATTTTTGGCAGAAGCCCCACCCCTCTCCCTCTAGTATAAATAGGAGGGGCTGCTGCCATTTTCCCCAGTTCAAAAAAGAGACCAATGTTTTGGCCTCAGAGCTTGAGTTCGATCTGGGAATGGCCTATTCAGCACCACAGCAGCACAGATCTGTGGAAGGAAGAGTCTAGATTAGGGAGTGAAGAATTTCAACACCATCACAGGGCTGGTGGGTGGGTTGTGTGAATGCACAGTTGGTGTTGTTCCTTCGGTATGGAGCAAGTATAGGAAGGGTTAGAGTGCCTTGACAAAATGGTAGAGAAGTTCTATGTGGTGACAGGACTCAGCCTTCATATCTCCAACTATGAGGCCACTATGAGGAGATAGCAGCATTTTCTTTGGGTGCGCTAGCCGAGTTCATTCCTGAAGAACACCAAGAATTGGCTACGATATTCCTTGGCATCCTTGCTGGTTCAAGGCTCTCCAGCTTTCCCACCTGGACTCGGGCCTGAATGACCGACAGTAAGTCTGGGTGCATGCAGGGCAAGTTGCAGCCAACAGAATGCATGACATTGCACAATATCATTACTGTTCATGGGGCATCTCAGTCAAGGCATCAGCCCCAGCTTCCAATTTCCCGCCTTTGTGGAGCATGAGCCAACACGAGACAGTCTGAACTCTGGTCTTCAATTGATAGGCTTTTAAATTCCTGAATATTACTCATCAGCGCAGCAGACTGAAACATTCCTTCTCCAGTTCTGTGATTAAAGTACTGTGAATAATATTGCCTGTGACACACAACAGCCTGACAACTTTGTACTTATGAGTCAAATGGAAAGCTTGTTAGGAAATGTTAGAAGAAACAGTGCAAACTTTCTGTTCTGCCTTACGCATTCTGGACAGCTAACAAATCAGTTAACAAGTGAAGTGCATATGCTAGTAACTTCGTATCTGAAAAGATCAGGCTCAGTAATTATTCCGACATCCGTCATTTGTACTGCTCCAGAGAACACATGCCAGGTGAATTGCTCTGGCAATTGTTAATTTCCCTTCCACTGCACAGATAAATATGCCACTTGACACATTGTCCTTGTTGATGGATGTACTTGACCCCCAAATCCCTCTTCGTTTTCTTGTGTATTCCCAAACTGGGATTTCACCCAGCTCGTTCTGCATATTTAACACAGTACTAGGACAAACTAGACATCTTTATGGCTGAATGATAAACAGTTAATGATTACTTTTTCTTCCTGGGAGCTAGCATTTCCGAACCAACAAACTACATGTTATAATCAAAAGCTTGTAATTATTTTAGGACTGTAATTTTAGAATTGCCTCATGGTCTTACTTTGGTCCATAGTGCCATCACATAGCTCAACTATGCAGAATTTCAGGCAGAGTTAAATAACCAAAATCCTGGGAAAGGATTGTGGGTGGAGGAACTTGAGCAGGAGGCTTGTGGAGCCTTGAAGAACTTCTGAATTCCACCTGACCTTGGGCAGCAGTGTGGTCAGTACCAATCAGGCAAAAGTTGCTGACAGGCCTTTAGTATGGCAACCTGCAAGTGAGGTGGTAGCCATTGTAATCAGATGTAGCATGGTGACTGGAAATGCAACAGAAAGCCACCACATCATATTTTCTAAGCATACTCATCATGGCTTGGCATACATCTAAAGATGGTCTAGATATGATTGTGCTGAACCTCCTGTAGGAGAGGGTGAGGAGGAGGAGGACAAGTGGCAGGGAACTGAGCTGAAATTTTACCTTGCAAAGAGCAGAAACCTCCCAGCCGCTTTACTATCACCACCTCTCTTGCAGGGTCCTAGAGGTATACATTACCTTTCTAAATATGAGTTGCGAACCCAGTGAAGTGGGGGGCAATGCACCTAGGAAGTAATTTTGATCAGAAAAAAGCTCACCAGACAAAGCCACTGCAGACATACTGTATATCCTTGCATGCCACCATACTCACCTACATTTACAATCTCCTCAGTGCACCTTTAATTTTAAAAGGTCAGGGCTTCATTACAATAATTTTGCATATAATGCATAGTTTGGCTCTGCATACTAGAGTCTTCAGAGTTTCCTGGACATGTACAACTTGGTTGCACACTCTCTTGTCTGTGATTTCACCAATATTCTGGAATCAGCAAAGTTTTGTTGAGCCTGTTTTTGCCCCTTTGTTAAGATTTGTGGTATTAGTGGCTTCATAATATCAAAATGGATGGATGGATGGATGGATGGATGGATGGACAGATGGATGAATGATTGAACTGCTGTTGGCAGCTTTAGGCAGAAAGTAAACTGGCTTGAAAGAAAAAGTTTCAAGTTTGAAAGAAAAAGTTTTAGGAGCACAGGAATTTCACATGCCGTGCATGGACTTCCATTGAGCTACAGCTGCCACCGTGCTGCAACCTGAGGCTTTGGAAAGCCATTGCCATGCCTAGGAAAAATACCTTATGCCAAGCCAGATCATTGGTCTATCTAGGTCAGATCTGCCTGCACCAGCCAGTAGCAGCTCTCCAGGGTTTCAAAGAAGAGCCTTTCCCAGCCCTGTGTAAAGAAGCCAGTGACTGTACTGGGAACCCCTTCTGTACAAAGTACATGCTGTAACAGCCCTTCTCTGAATATTTTTCAGTATTATTGGGAGACAGATTTGATTTACTGGCAAAGAAGCACGGTGGAGGTTTCAGCTCTGCCTAACAACCCATGTTTACTCTTTTAACTTGAATTTGCATCTAATTCTACTGGCAAAAGAGAGCTGCAGAAGGACTCCAGTATACCCCTTGGCCATGAAATTTCATACAGAGCTCTTTATTCAGGTGGATATCAGGTTCAGGACTCAAATACAGGATCTGTAAAGCAGAAAATTGGCAAGAGAAGGAAACCTAGTTAGAGTTTTGATGGTGATACAGTACATATCCTTTAGTGATTTGAACTGTTGGCTCAGGACAGATTCTCTAAGAATAGAGAGATGCAAACCCTGCACAGATTCATGGAATCTTAGAATGGCAGAGTTGGAAGCAGCCAGAGGGCCATCAGGTTCACCCCCAGCTCAGTGCAGGGCTCCAAGTCAAACCATCACTCTCAGTTGGCTGTCCAGTTCATCTTGAATGCCTCGTGTGGGACAGCCCACAACCTCCCTAGCATAACCAACCAACCTCCCTCCCTGCAATCTCTGGGGCCAAAGCAGACAACGAGGGGCCACCATAATTGATGTGTCTCCCCCATTCACCTATAAAGCCAGGGTGAGTAAGGTGACTGCCTCAGGCATAACACGCAGCAACCAGTCTTGTATTCACAGAAGGGGAAATGTCCTTGTAGGACATTGTTCTCCAGTGTCAGAGTAGCTTGGCTGACTTTGAGTACTGTGTACCTTGGTTTGCAGTGGCGGGGAGGGTCGAGCTGCCCTGTAGTGCTACAGCTTACGTAGAAGAATCCCTTGGTTGGGCTCTGCTGACTTTCATAGGAAAGGGGGCACGTGCAAGAAGGTTCTGAACTCTCCCCCACCAAAACTTCATTGTGCTAGAACTAGAGGCTTCAGACAGGCTGCTGCCTTCCTGGTTCTCAGCGGTGGAGAGGAAAGTCTGGTAGGGCCAGGAGGGTTGCTTCTTTTATTGTTAAAGTCAGAAGGCTTTGCACATATTCACCATTTCCTTTTAAGCTTATGAGACAAAAGAAGCAATATGCAAAGAGAAGGAACACGAGCAACAGAACCTGTGCGTATTTCCATCAATCTGTGTCTAGCCTTCCTGAAGGAAGAAAAAGGCTCTGCAGTGGAATACACCCTGACTTATGTTTGCACTTTTGGTCCTTCAAAGCAATCACAATTAATGTTTCATATCTACACTGCAGCTTGAAAGAAAGCATACCTTGGGAAATAGCAGGAACATCTGAATAGATCTGGGCAGTACCTGTGTGCTTTTTCTGTTTCCAGAATCACAGAGACAGGACGCTGTTTTTCTGATGGAAAAGAGCTGAAAGCTGAACCAAAGAGCAAAGGGCTGATTAAAAACTTAAAGCAGCAATTACCTAGCTCTGCTCTCTGTCAGCTGCACCACCCACTTTGGATGGTGCTGGGTTCACCAAGAAGCCTTCTGTATTGTAGCGGTGGGAACTACAGATTAGAGAGGCAAAGACAGAGACAAAGCACCATTTCTTCTGTATGTGTGCATGTTTTTATGGCAAAGGTGGGAATGAAGGAACAAAACAAAATTTGCAATGTGTAGAAAAACACAAGTTTCATAAATTCTGTGAGCTTGAACAAATTTCTTCACCCTCTTTATGAAAGGGGGACAGATACTTTTATCGACATGCTGTTTCTATGTGTATTTGATTTCTTTTCCTGTAGGCAAAAATAGCCAGATCCAGTAACAACAGAAGAAAATCCTTTGGAGCATTATTATATTTACCTTGCTTCAGGAAGTCAACCTCTGACTTTGGCACTGGACTGGATTCCATGAGCTGAAAGATGGTATCTAGAGATATGCCATACTAAATGTAAATAAAATGGTCATTTACATTATTTTCAATTGAATTGTTCATATTTTCTGTTGATAGCCGGCAATATTTATGTTTGACAGCAATATCTGCAATAATCCTAAAATATATTTCATATTTTTCTTTATTAAAAAAAGATACAATGTTCACTTAAACTCTCCGGGTGGCCTCCCAAAAATCATATTAGAAATAAAAGCAATAGCAAAAATGTAAATCTACAGAATAGCTTTAAAAATGATCACCTATAAACAGCAGGACAATAAACGCAATTCCTAGGTGATGATATAGATAGAAAAACTAGGTCAACTATCTTTACCAAAAGCCCCGGTGGAGTAAAAAGAAAGTTATAATAATTTAATTATATTATAATTTATAATATAATATTATAATTATAATATTTATATAATTTATTATAATTTAATAAAAATTTAAAACTGCATAACAAAGCAAAAATATATTATTTTTGGATATTATATCGATATCCTGCATTTTCCCCCTTAAGGAACCTGTGGTGGCTTACATGGTCTTCCTCACAACTTGATCCTCATGACAACTCTGTGAGGTAGGTTAGGCTGAGAGTGAGTGACTGGCCCAAAGTCAACCAGGGGACTTTGTGGCCAAGTGGTGACTAGAACTCAGATCTCCTGAGTCCCAGTCACAACACTCAGTTGCTAAATGCACAGGCTCTCAGTTTACAGGTGCTGCTTGGCAAAAGTTCCAGAGACTAAGAATTTGGGAGGCAGAGCGGCTCCTAGAAAATGTGATCAGGCAGCACTAACAAATCCACCATTGCTTCTTAAAAATGCAATATTAGATATGGGGGCTGATGAATCATTGGCACAGCAAGTGATACTTTCATCCCTAGATAGGCCCTCAGCAAAAACCAGTCCCTGCCAGGTAATTAGCAGGATGAAATAACCTGCCATTGGCACCAGTGTCCTTTGCCCCTCCTAATGTTAATTGTTATATGAGGACCCAGGAAATGCCCCCCTCCCCCAGCCCCATTCACCTAGTACCTAGTTTAAAACAACAACAACGTGTTCAAATTTCAGCAGGGCTCTTTAATCACTCTTAATTTTAAACTGAACTTTGAAATGATATTCAAGGCACCAAATTTATGTTGGAGTGCAGATTCAACGCTGTGGATAGCTCCTTTGAAGTCCAGTCTGATATCTGGAGTGGATATGGAGCCCTGCTGACATTGGCACCGGTAGCCTTCACTGAGAATGTCTTTGCTATCATGTTGTTCACCCCATAAGTAGCTGGGCATGGGGACATTATTTCCTGGGGAATTCCAAAGTTGTAGTATTCAAGCTTCCTATCCTCTGGGAACCTGTTCAGCAAGCAGTCTGCTGCTGTAGATTTGGAGGTGCACACACCTAGGGCATGCTGGGAGTTGCTGGACTTTTCTCTGTTGAAACAAGAATTTGATCATGCCCTGTATGAATAAGAGACTGACAGAGTTAGAAATGATGACTCTCCCCACATGCCAAACGAAGCAGCCTTGAGGGCTGTGGTACAAGTGGTGTGGCCGTTCGTTATATTGAAATACCTATGAACATAGTGGCTGCAACTCTTGAAGACTTTTGTGGGCACTGGCTATGGTCCCACGCCTGATCCAGAAAGCTCCGCAGTTTCCCTGGGTGCTCCTTAACCTAGGAAATAAAAACGTTGATCAAAGTTAGAATGATCACCCATACTGGGTGGTTCTGTCTCATACCTGTTCTAAAGCAAACTTTTTGAACTGAAAGTGGAACTTCTAAAGCTAATGGGCTGAGTTGGCTGTCATTCCTACTCGCCCAGCAGACCCAGCCAACAGTGTGGATGGGAGCATTTGCACACGTACATGCTCCATTCACTTGGTGCCCCAGTGGCCCAGCTCTGACCTGCTTGATTATCCATGTGGGGAAGTCACATTCCAAAGGATCCTGATGCAGGTGGGCCAAGACCGTCAGGTCAACTGCCTCAAAAGTGTATGTCCAGTAATTGCCCATATTACTTTTGGGTTAGGAGAGATTGATTTCATGTGTGCATGATGTATTCTAGTATTATGTCCTCACATAATTGGCCAGAGATGTTGGAGGTTGGTGGGTAGCGTGAATGTGTTTGCATTCCCTTTTGAGCAATGGGCTGGATTTGTGTGGGAGGGATTCGGCATGTGCAGAATAGCTTTCTGCCTAGTAATGGGAAAGGGGAAAAGTTGTAGCTATGGACTGACAGATTTGTGTTAATTTATGTCAAATTTATGAAATATGTCTTTTAAAATGCAATGGTGTAACAATAATGCTGTCCGATTGTGTAGAGATCATACGCAAAATATTATGCCTTAGGTTCTGACCTGATCCTTTCAGATTCTGTATGAAGCTCACTAACTCTAAATGTGAAATGGTAGTGCATTGTCAGCTCTCTCCCTCTTGCGCTGTGTGTGCACCCATAAGTATATTCACCTTTGTGATTACTGGCAATAAGTCAAATAATTCTGAACACTGTTTGGAATGTTCTCTGCTTCTGAGCTGGACAGCAATAAAGTTTCTTAGTGGGAGGAGAGGTGAAAACCCAGTCCTTCAGTCCAAATGCGAGTAAAGCTTAGAAGTTGTTCATTAGTTAGGTATACGTGGTGATGGGGAGGTCAACCCTTCATTGTACCTGAAAGATTCTACCCCCCCCCCCGCCTGTTTTGTTGGCTCTTTTGAAATCAATGGATAATGATGAAAGATCAGTCTTTCAGAATGGCCTTACAAGATGTCTGCAAATCATGTTCCAAGAGTCCTGGTTGTCATTTGAAGCCCAGCCCAAGAAGGTTTTGCATTCTTTTAAGCTGTCTCTACGACTCTGCAAAACAAGAGGAGATAAGAACCTTTTCTGCAAATCAGTGAAAACAGAGATGATCAAACAAACATCAGTCCTAGAGTGAGGAATCACAGACCATATCTATTTGCCCTAGCAACGTAGAGATATGATATAGAGCTGCCATTTAACTTCCCAAAATGTCCCCAGTGTATTCAGTGTGAGATAGTGTGGGAAATTAAAATGGTGGCTCCCAGCTGCCAACACTGTTTCAGAGCTCTGCTGCATCCACCTGCTATGACCATTACTTCAAGGGCCAAAGTGTAGGAAGAGGCCTACTAGAGAGTCCGTGGATCAGCACCGCCTCAAACCTATCTCTGGCACTCTCCCTGTCAGAAATCTGATAGTTCCTTTTAAGGTGCAGTCAAACTGCTCAGGGAAGCATTTGCTCTTGATTCTGTTTCAGTGCTGGGGGATCAGCTGTGCCTCTGCACCAGGAGTTGTGATCAGATTTTGCAAGCAAGTACCTTAGCGACATCCAGATGTGG